TGAAGGGACAGCATGAGGCACTGTCACTGAGGGTTTGGGACATGCATCAGTCAGAGATTATTAGCTAAGAACGGAGAAAGATGCACACTAGGGCACTTCTCATTACCCATCCTAGGAAGCAACAAGAGCAAGAGAGGCAGAAAACTGCTCCCCCCCCCCACCACCAAGCAAGTTAATAAGAACAGCTGGTGGCCAGACAACAGCATTATTAGCTCAGCCATATTAAGTCACACCCTTATACCCAGACAAAAAGCCCCTTCAGTTGGATGTAAATAAAAGTCACCAACTGCAGTGGAGAAAACCAAACACAAACAGACTGTTAAAATCTGGACAATAAAGAGAGATTGGAAAGTGCAACAATTGCAAAGTCAGTCACTTCCAAACAACCTTAATTTTGCCCCAGCATTGCCACCTCTCCATAACTGAAACCCTGAATCACACTTACATCTTCCAGTCTTAAGAGTGAGTCCCATAAACTTATTCTCCATTTGCACCAGCCTGCCTTTGCAGATACCACTGAAACCATGACTTCCCTCAGCATCCCACATACCACAGACTCATTCTTCAGGACATGACATTCATCCTGGTTTCTCAAAGGCTTATTCTACCCTTGGTATTTTTCATTCCTCACCTTTACAACAGTGAATTCCACTACAATAAGCATACCTCACTAATCACTGACATGCAGCCACCTCTGGTGAGAGACACTAGAAATGAACAGTATGCAGGAACATTATGTGACAGTCGAGGGCAGGGAGCATGCATCTAACTGAAATGGCAGATAGAATTTAGGGCAGCAAAATGCATCAGGATTTAGATGAATGCGGAGATCAACACTCCTCTAGCAAGTGCAAGTTGAAAACCTTGTGTGCTCAAGGCTGTATTTTGCACCTAATCCTAGAGATGGCATGACCAGCAGCACAAATGCCCCCTCCCCCATTCTGCAGTGCTGGGGGACTGCTATCTCTTGAGTCACAGTCACCACTCTCAGTAGTTTCCCTTCAGAGGTGTGTTATCCAAGCCCTCACCCTACTTTGTTTGAGAGGTCTGATGCAGCACAGCCAGGAATAGTGAAAATCCTTTATTTACACACCTTTGCACCTGGGAAGTGCATCTTATCTTCCTCTTCATTAACATTTGTAGATCTCCCTGCTTTTTCTGGCTCTGGCAGCATGGTAGCGGAGTAGTTAAGATATCTCTCTTGGGCAGTGGCAGTGTGTGTGAGGTGAAGCCCTGTTCTGGGTTCATGCCAAAGGCCCACTACCTCCCTAATCCCTGACATGCAGCTACCTCTGGTGAGGAACGCTGGAACCAAACAGTGCACAGCAACACTGTGTGATAGTTGAGGGCAGCAAGTACACGATGACCAGTGGTTCATGCCAAAGGCTGCCCCCCGCTGTGACTGGCTACCTGGGCATTCAGGCTGAGATGGGTAGATGTGATACTAGCCACATTGCCCCCTTGTGTAGTGTTGGCTACAGAAACTGGTGAGCCTTAACCAGATGAGCCCAGTGGGCTTCTAGGCTTTATTGGCTCTTCTGACCTACTAGGAAAAAAGGGAATAAAAATCATGAAGATGAAGGTAAAATTTCATCTGCTTTGCCATCACCAGCAGCACCTCCCTTACAAATGATGAGCAGAGATGAAACATGGTTCAGTGGGTGGGGTGCTAGCCTGAGATCCACCAGACTGACATTAGTGCAACTTCTGGGAGGTCACCTGGTCTCTGCTTCAGTTCCTGTACCATGAGGATAGAAATGCTGCCCTACTGCACAAGAGTGTTTTGTTCTTGGGAGTCCATTTCATACCTGGGAGTTTTACCATGCTGCTTTTAACCTAATTAATTTGCTAATTCTCTAAATTTCACTCATCTCAAGACAGTGGAAGTCCCCCATTCTACTGCTGTGCATAGGGACGATGTCACATCCTTTTAAATAACATGCAAGCCGTCTAAAGAGTGCTCGCTGTGCCCTACATTGGATCAGACCATTCATTACCATTGCTCTCTGGTACCGGTGCCTAGCCCCTGTGCCCCAGGTGAGTTCCCCGCACCGCCGGGAAGGTCTGAGACACAAACAAGCACACACCTTTTTCCATCAGCATCTCAGAAAGTGCCTGAACATGCTTCTATTCCACGCACTTTAAACTAAAGGCATTTTCTGGGCTTAGAGAAACCTGCTGGGGACCCAGACATCAGCGTAATGGCTCTGCAAATGCATCCTTTATTATACACCAAAGGGGCCTAATTCTCCTCTCCCTCATACCCGTCTGGCATCAGCACTGGGCCACCAATTTGAACGAGTCCTCCCCAGTTTCTAACAGAGAAAAGGATTGTGTTTCAATAGCCACAGTCATTTCCCCTGCACAGCACGACTCGGTGCCTCAGGACAGACCTCCATTTCTGCACACATGCAGCCATCTTCACTCCTTCAACAGACATTTTGTAGGGGAGACCTCTGCAGCTTTTTGACATGAGCACTGGGGCCAGACTAGGACTTTGAGGCAGAGGCTGAATTTTATAGGGGCAACAGGAACCCCAGTCGGAGGAGCGGGCTGGTTCTGCCCAACCCCTGATGCTGTGCGGAAATCCTGCTCTTGGAGAAAACTGACCAGCTCACAAGTCCCACTGTAAGAGTCTCTCTTCCCTGGGGAAAGAGAAGCGGGTTCTGATCTGAGTTACATCAGCACAAATCCAGTCTTCTCCATGATGCCAGTGGAGTTCATCCAGATTGACCAGGAGCTGGGCTCAGGCCTCTTGCTTATACCATGGGTTTCTTTACAGGATCGCACTGCATTCCTGCACAGGTTCAATACACAGGAAACGTGCCTCTTGCACCTTTCAGAGGGACATGGCAGTGGTGACAGATGAGAGAACAAGGAGCAACAGTCTCAAATTGCAGCAAGGGAAGTCTAGGTTAGATAGCAGGAAGAGTTTTCCCACTAGGAGGGTAGTAAAACACTGGAACAGGTTGCCCAGAGAAGCTGCAGACTCTCTCCTTGGAGGTTAAAACCTGGCTAGACAAAGCCTTGGCTGGGATGATCTAGTTGGGGATGGCCCTGCTCTGAACAGGGGGTTGGACCTCCTGAGATCCCTTCCAATCCTCATTTTCTATGAGTCTATGGCAGAGTAGATTGTCATCCGTAGCAGTGATTCTCAGTCAGGGTGCCAAAGCATGCTGGGGTGCTATGACATCCTTCTAAGGATGCTGCACAATATTAGTACAGTCAGGAAGGCACACACCTACACATGATGTCAGAGATTTCAAATAGGAATACATATAGTGTCAAAACAATTCTGACCTGCTGTGGCCCTTGAGTTATTTCCAGACAAAGAATTTCTCTACTATTTTTCCATAGTTAAAAAAAAACAATTAGTGAAAGCTAAGTGCTGGCATTTTCCAAGGGGTGCTTTGAGATGAATGAAGAGTGCCTTGAATCTAAGAAGACTGAGGACCACTGGTGTCTAGTGTTTGAGCACTTAAGGAGATGTGCATATGTGCATCCATCTCCAAACAAACCTTGCTTACAAACTGTGCTTCCCCAGGGTTATGCCAGTGTGATGCACTCTGGGTGGGGCTGCAAAAGGGCTGCTGGCAGGAATAACTAGACAAGGAAGGAGGGGAATGAAGGGCAGCCTGGTCACCCAGGGACCTGGATTGCATTCCTTGCCCAGGACAGCATTCCAGCTTGCTTCTTACCACAGACTGTCCCAATCCAAAAACACCTCACCTTGAGGTAACCCCGTGAAGCCCCACTCCCTGGAAAGAAGACACAAGTCAGAAACTTCTGAAATACTGGGGGTGGAATCTCAATCCTAATGGGGGAAAAAAAAAAAAAAAGGCGAGGCTCTTATTGATTTGGATGGGCCCAAATTTCTCCTAGGGTTTTAAGTCACTCCATCTGTCATTTTCTTTTGGTTCAAAGTAAAAGATGGACATTTTCCTCTGTATCACGAGATATAGGAGGGAGCTCAAGTCAGGTAGCATACAAGAAAACATCATGCAAGTGATTCTTGCATAATTTGCTAGACAAACACACAGAGCAAAGATCAGACACACTTCTACAATGTAACATGTTCTCACCAAAAGCCCCGCTCCTTCAGGCAGGGAACTCCAAGAGCATATTTCCAACACAAATGTGGCTCCATCGGCCTACACAGGCCCCATTACGTTGCAAAGTGCACCCTGCATCCAGCAAAAGCCAGGAAATAGGCTGATGGTTTAGCCCAGGGCAGTAGGATTTCCCTTTCACTCTAGCTGTGGTTGGTGAATTTGGTGCTGGGACCAGGGGGTTAGACAAGCCACTAGAAATCAGAGCAGGGGCATGGTCCAGCCTTTGTCAGACCGATATGGCAATCTGCACCAAGGACTACAGCAATCCGGCTGCCGTCAGCCTGCGGACGTCACCTATGACGCAAAGATTCACTGCTGCTGCTGTGATTCTGCCAGCTCCTCTCCCAGCTCCACAGCGCTCAGGATGCACAATATGGGCAATCTAAGCCAGCCCCACTATTGTCCCTGCCTCCCCTGTCCATGGCAGACACCCAAGGCAACTCCTGCTCTAGGTGCAGACCCACGGCCCTGCAGGAAAGCATTGCTTGGGACCTGAAAACAGATTTCCCAACCACCACCCCTCAGCTCCCAGCTGCCTGGGCCATTTCCATGCTCTCAAATGGAGCATTCAACTGCAGCATCCCTCAGCCTAGAAATAAACCTTTCCTGCCCCCCCAGCCCACAACAGGCCCCAAGAACGGGGAGTTTGCAAACGGCCTAGCCTAAGGGCCTCTTGCAGGCTAAAGCTGGTCTCAGCTGCCACACCTGCTGCCTGCAACACTGAATGGGGGAGGGGGGCAATGCATTAAAAAAAGCAGCAAGGCAAAAATGCTGGAGGGCATCCTTCCCCCTGCTTCCTCTGGTCCTCTCTGCAGCCTGATGGGGAGGGCGAGAGGCTTCAGCCTCCCCCAGCCCAGGGCAGGAGCTCCCCTCCCCCCTCCTGCCTACCTTTTGTAATCAGAAGAGAAGATGCCCCCGCTGGCAGGATCGTGGCCATACTCGGGCTCCCCCAGGCTGGAGGAGCCCCCCTTCTCCTCGTTGTAGGCTTGGCTGGTGGACATGGCTGGGATCTGGGGGAGAGGAGGATGTGCAGGGGATTTAAACAGAGGGAGGCAAGGCTGAGCTTCTTAAAGCGACAGGCCCCTGCACACCAGGGATGCCCCAGGCAGGAGGGGAGGAGGAAGAATAAAAATAAGAATAAGAATAAGAATAGTAATTGCAGAAGCAGCCAGGCCCTGGCGGCTGCTGCTGCTGCAATTTATGTCGGGATCAGGTGGCAGCAGCTTCTAGAGGCTGGGAAACGCCACCCCCACCCCGGCAGAGAGGGTCCCCTCCTCTTAAAGAGACAGGACTCCTCTGCCCCTGTGCTGCTGTCCAACAGCAAGATGGGCTGTCCCTCTGCTCACACTGGGATTGGGGGGCTCAAGGGCTGGGGAAGAAGCAGAGCCATCTCCATGCCACAGTGGGAGATGGGCATCTTCTCACCTGGGCTGGATGTCTTTGGAGAGGTGCTGGGTCAGAGACAGCATCCAAGCGCTCCCTTCTCTCCTTTGCCAGAAACATCTCCAGCAATGTTTTTTCCCCCCACAATGGAAAACTGGGGTTTCCAACTAAATGAAAATGTTGGGGGTTTTTTTTCCTGTGAAACCCTCAGGAGCCCTCCAAAATGGGCCATTTCCCTCAAATGTTGTTTTCATTAACATTGTCTCAAGCTGAAACCTTGCATTGATGTCCTGTGGCCACCTGCCCCCCGCTTCCCCCATGCATGCAAGCACACGCATACCCCGCTCCCCATGAAATATTGTCATTGTTTGCATTTGTTATTTATTTGCTACAACTCAGACTTTCTAAAAGGGTGGTGGTGGTGGTCGGGGGAGCCCTCCACTCTGTGAATGGGGGTCAGAGCGCAAAAAAAATGGAGCTGACAATCACTGAGGAATCAAACAGTGACACCATAATATGGTAAAACTACCCCAGCTGATATCATGCGAGGATCCTGCCTGGTGTTGCCAACAGCTCTGCATCGTGTTATGACAATGAACTTAGCCCAAATATGCCAGATTCCCTTAAATATCCTACAAGGCTAAGGATGGAGCCTAGGTAGGGTTAAAGCAAGCCATTGTGAACACACACCCTACCCAGGAGGAGAATAGGATAGGAGGGGAATGGATTTAAAGGCTTCATTGTTCTCACCCCTGTCCCTGCTCTTATTTTTTTTAATCAATGAGGGATAAATCCTGCAACCTCTTACACAAGAGCAATTTTACTTGCATGAGGTAGTCCCAGTGTGTCAGATTCTTTTCTCACAGTAATTCGCCAGCAGTGTTATACTGGGGAGTTAAATGGAGTGACTCCTGCTTCCCACCAGCGTGAGAGGAGGCCTGGACTAACATGAGTGAAGTTAATCACAGTGATGAGCTGCTGCATAATTAGGTCCTTAGATTCAAGCTTCTGGGGGCAGTAACAAAGTATTTGACACGGTATTTGTCAACATTATTTGACACAAAGCTATTTTTTGACTGAAGGGAAGGGATGAGCTAGAAGAATCTGCTGGAGACATCTGCCCAGCAAAGAGAGTAAGACAACCAGGGTTAGAAGCACCAGAGTTAATGCATCTCTGCAAGGGTATTTCTCTGACAAATGATTTGTGGACAATTATAACACATTGTCCAATGCCATACTCAGGTGCACCTGTGGCAAAAGGCTCCAAAAAATCAGGTTTAAAAGCAGGTTTACTGTGAGTGAATGTCAGCCCCATGATAAAATACCTGCAGAATATATTACAGAGAGCATGTAAAAAAGAAAAAAACTCAAATGGTCCCAAGGGCCAATCCTCAGCTGATTTAAACTGTTGCGGCCAAAAACAGCAATGACAATAATAGTATCATCTTACTGTTTTGTCATGCTTTCCATTCATAGATCTTGTGGACATGCACTGTGGATCCAGCCCTCTGTGATTTAAAAGGCATAGTAAAAAATCCTGATATAGGTCTTAGAGTCAGTGCAACAAGTAGATACACACAGAGGTGTCTCTCCCAAGAGGCTGCCAGGAGGTGTGTACCATACAGCCCTGCACTGTGGGCAAAGGGTCATTATTGTGTTGTCAGTGTCTCCTCTCTAAACTGAGAGGCAACGCATGATCCTTTGCATGGGGAAAGCCTGTAGGCCTGTGCTCTCATTCAGGTCTGAACCCTCCACTGATGCACATGTCCTCTGCTGACATGGATGAGCCAGTAAGTGGGGAATACATCTAGAGAGAGATCTATATCTATATCTATATCTATATTTATGTCTCTAGAGAGAGAGAGAGAGACAGAGAGAGATATCATCTCCCCAGCCCCAGCCAGGAACAGGTCCCTCAGCCTACCCAGTCCTTCAGACTGGGTGGGCACTTGGTATTAGTAGGCCAGCCATGTGATTGCCCCCTGCTTCTCCAATTGCAGGAAAAGAATAAAGGGACTGGGTGACACTTAGTCCCAGCCTCTAGGGTCCTTTGAGGACATGCATTCATAGGACTGTGATGACGCCTGTAGCCCAATTACTGGAGAGGCCTGGGCATTGTATTTCAACTAGCCCTTTAATGCAGGCCAGTTAAAATGCATCAGGTCACTGGGGCACTTGGCATTGTGCTCTGCCCTTGTCTAGGAGAGCATTGGGCCACCAGCACAGAAATGCCAACACCAGTCCGTCTCCAGGACCCATTAAGCTTGTTCCTCTGAGGACAGCCAAGTGGGGAGAACCCAACCCCCTCTGCCAACAGGAGGTAGTCCAATGCCTGCCTAGCAGTTGTCTAGGTCCCACTGTCAGAGAGTCCTCAGATGCTGTCCCTTCTCCCAGCTAGTTTTGGGAAGGAAGGGAGAGATGCTCTCTGGGGAAGATTGTCCCCCCTGCCGCCCTCTCCCTGACCCACTGCTGGTGTAGGCATTTAGAGCTGTTAGAGCTATGCCCACCTGTCTGTACAGGGAGCCCCCGCTACTCTTGCGATTGGGGTCAGAGAGAATCCCACATCCTGGCAGCACAAAGTGCAGGGTGTCACATGGCTGGAGGCCCCACAGACTGCACAGGGGGCACAGGCTGGGGCATGGGCAGGGATGGCCCAGGGGCAAGTGCTGCTATCCATCCAAACAGGTGCAAATGTGCTTTCTCCAGCACCCCCTGAAGGCTCTTGCCTGGAGGGTACTGGAGGAGGCTGCTTATGAGGAGCACTTTCACACCCTCCTGTCACCTAGCCCAGGCCTCAGCAGCTGCAGAGATCCTGGCCCTTCACAGAGGCGCCTTGATAACTCGCCTGACGGAGGAACCGAACCGCACTGATCTGCTGGATGCTCCCAGGCAGGAATACACAGCTGTATAGGAAGCCTCCTCCACAGTCCCCAGTGTAGGGAGGCAAACGGAGCTGTGCACACACCAGTCTTTGCAGTGAAGGCTGAAACCCAGACAGGGGCTCCACTGGCAAAATTACATTTGTGTTTAAAAGTGCAGAATCAAGTAAAGGGGTGTAGGTTGTAGCCGTGTTGGTCTAAGGACATAGGCAGACAAGGTCCTTTGGGTGAATCTGATATCTTTTATTAGACCAACTTAAATAGCTGGAAAACAATTATTAAGCAAGCTTTCGGGTTCAAAAACCCTTCGTCAGGCTAAGGAGGTTTCAGCAGTTGGCGTGTGCTCTTCCTGGATGGGATGAAAAGTAAAGAAGCCAGGGGCTGGGCTGGTCTGCATACAAGACAGGTAGTCAGTGAAAATGCAGATTGAGGAGTCAATGGGTGAGAGACAGGTGGGGGTGGGGAGAGAGAGAAGGGGCATGAATAGTGGAGAGATACCTGGGGAGACAGAAGAACCAAGTAAAGAGCAGGAAGATTTTTCTTAAGGAAGGCTCGCCCTCTAGTGATGAACCAGAGCCTAGTCCCTGGTAAGTGAACTAAAACCTGAGTCAGCTACAGCTCCATGTCAGGACACCCGCCTTTCCATCCCGAATCTCCAAAGCAACGAGCCCCATTAAAGGCAGCATCTCTGGCATTGACTCTAAGATCAATGCCAGGAGGATGGTAGCACAAAACCTTAACAATAACCTCAGGTACACTTGTACTAGAGGTGCACCAATACATCGGTCCAATATCCGATTGGCACCAATATAAAGAAAATTGTTTTGGAAATCGGCTTTTTTGTCTGATGTGGCCGAAAGTGTGGCTGATAAATGCCCTGTGTATGCGTGCAGCCACAGTGTGGCATGTAAGTAGCAAGGAGCACAGCCCCACAGTTTGGAGAGCTGCATCCAGCTGGTACATCTCTTATGGTGGAAGGGCATGAGGTGGGGCAGATCAAGGCCCCCGCAGTGAAGGAGGGTGCAGGGGAAGGGACTGGCGCTGGAGCAGGGCACAGGGACAGAGCCACAGCTCATCTGGGGGCTGCTAGGAGGCAGGGGTGGCTCTAGCCTCCTGCCACTGCGCGCACCCCAGGAGGGCATGAAGGGCATGTGCCCCCATATCTGCCTGTGGGGCATGTGTGGGCTGGAGCTGGGCCTGCGCTGGGCATTTCCCAGTGGGGGCTGGTCAGACTGCACTTGGGGCAGGGCGGCGCTGGGAGAGTGGTTGGGGGGGCTATGGAGAATTTTAGGGTGGCTGCAGCCCACCTGTAGGCCCCTCCCAGCACTGCTGCCACCCGGTCCAGCCCCCAGCTGGGAAGAGCCCAGTGCCACCCTGGCCCCAGCCCACAGCAGCAACCTGCCCCACCCTGCATGCCGATCCGGGGGGCACATGCCCCCCATGCCCTCCCAGGGTGTGCAGAGCAGTGGGAGCTGCCTCTGCCCCCAGCGTCCCCTGGACAAGCCGTGGCGCCGCGACAAAGGTCTCAATCTGCCCCCCTCCCCTCCCCTCCCCCCACCTCTTTTCATCTCCCACCCCTTCCACCACAACAGGGTTACCAGCCAGACACTACTCTTCACGCTGCTGGGCTGCATGTCGGAAATTGGCTTGGTATCGATCAATATGCCTCCTTAAAGATCAGCTGTTGGTACTGGCCCCCAAAATCTCTTTCGGTACACCCCTAACTTGTACCCCTGGTGAAAGTACTTCTGATTGCCTCTGCTTCCAGGCATAGGAGAGGTCTTGTGCTTCCACACTCCTGAGCTCACTGTGACAGAGTTGGGCAAAGGTGCAGGCAGTTCAGAAGACTGCTGAAAACAGCAGACTAAGAAAAGATGAGACAACCCAGTGGGAAGCTCCAGCAGGGTGATGCTGGAACTCTCCTTGCTTTCTCTGCACACTTCACCTCTCAGCAAAACTTTGCAGAATCCTAGTG